TCAGTTACTCAAACACTATACAATAATCATATTACTGATAATATAATCTTATTCTATGGGGTTTATACATAGAAGTACAAAAGACCTGCAAAATGTAAGTCAAAATAGTCTAACTGGAAAAAAATCTCCCACTCAGGGTTAGGGGGCACATTTTCAGTGAGATTGCCTTTGTTTGCTTTTTTGTGACATTATTACTCGTCACTCTTCAGTGAATAACCCCCAGTGTTAGCCACTTCTTGGTAATATTGATTGATGTATTTCGCATATTATTGCTAAATTGGGCTGAATGCAGCCTTCTCTTTGTGCATTTTTGGTATTCAGTTGCCAAACCATCACATTAAACTATCAGATTTACTTTTAATGTCACATGAACATCCCTAACTTTAACAGTGTAATTCACACACAGCTGGACCAGTTTTGAAACATAACTTCAACTTTATCGAGAATGGATTGCTAGCCTTTGGCACTCCAGCAATTGTGTACTACTACTCAAGGGTTTCCCATTAAAACAAGTTAGTATGAGCATTTTACTAAATGTTAAAAAGTCGTCTTAATAGAATTATAAAACAAAACAAAACAAGACAATAAAGATACAAAAATACATACTATATAAATTACTAATACAGAAACAATGCAAAATATATGAATTTGCCCTCTTTATCTAGTCTAAAGCAATTTTTTAACAAGACACACATATGCAAACACGTAAGTACAAACACGACATCATATTAATGTGACATCTATACTAGTGTACACGTGTAGGCAAATTAACCTAGCAATAACATTAAATAACTTCAACTTAGTGGACTTTGGATATTTTCTTTAGAGCTCAGGTACTTTGAAATGAATTTTGACAGTCCACTGTCTGTTCGCCATTAAACACTCTAAATAAATAAACTCCTTAACTGATGTTTAGCTAATAAAACTGCATGTAAAGCACTTCTAAAGCAGATATGGCAGACTATGCCACAATAAACTCCTTGAAATAATTCCCATTCCCAATGAAATGATAACGTCACTCTACTGGAAAAATCAAATATGGCCTGACTGCGGTTTCTACAACACAATGTGGTTCAGCGTTTAGAACACACACAGCAGTAGGCACCTACAATGCATGCCATCGGGCCTAGGATTGGCTGTGAACTGAAAGCCTATATTTAAAAAAATAATAATAGTTCTAGATCCACCAGTTGGGAAATCCAAATTTTTTAAATCATACAGATCTGCCAATTTACAATTCCAACCATACTGTCTTGAAATAAATCATACGCATCAATAACACTAAAGAGAAAGATAACTGTATTTTTCACCAAAGCTATCCTAGAAGTGCTGGTGACTCAAAAGGGCTTCTAGAATTTATGATCCATTTACATACCCACTACATAAAGCATGAGGTTCCAACTCCCTTTAGAAATTAAACAGAGCTCGATAAATATGTCCTGCTTGTGTAATGTGACACCCACTTTCAGCCATAAAGAATAAAAGGGGAAGGATAAAAAAAAAATAGTAATAAAATAATGAAATGAATGGAGTAGAGACCTGTGTTGCATGCTGAGTGTCTCAACTAAATATTCAAAAGCACAAAAGTAACAAGAGTACTTGTAAGTGAAAATAATAACATATAGAAAAGGTAAAATAATAAAACATAAGAAAGAATATAAAGAAAATGTAAAAAATAAATAAATAAAGGAAAACACTAGACCAAACAGATGACATAGATGCAGCGCATACTTAAACACCATTTGGAATATTTTACTTGCTCATTACATGGGGGGGAGAAGGTTCTCACATATTACCCATGAACATCTGTTGCCTGTAGATGCACTATATTTTTTTCTCTTTACATTTGGTGGAAAAACACGCTGTAAGGATTTTTATTTTTTTTAAAGATGGAAAAAAATTGCATTTGAGAAGAAATTTTTTATAAATAATCTCCTTCAGACAGATTGCAGAGATTACTTGTGTTTTAAACTTTCCAAAATGTCCCTCATCTGGGACGAGGCTGATGGTGAACTTGATAATACGACTGCCTCTTCTGAGCTTTTTTTTTTGTCTATAGTATCTGTTCATTTTCTGTAGACTTCCCCCCTTTCATTTTCTGGCTGACTTGGTCAGACAGTATAGTCTAGGATCGGCTGTTTTGTTTCTCGTTCGATTAGTTCAAACAGAGATAGCTCACACATCTGTTTTATTTCTGAAAACACTGCATAGGAAAGTGTCCAGTCCATTCTACTGAAACATAAACTTTGCTATTAATAACAATGGCCTGAAACGAGTGACTCGATGCAGAGCTGAAAAAAAAAAAATGTCTTGGGACTTGGTTATCAAGATGTCTGTTTACATTTGTTCATGTACACAGTTAACCTTGACCTGTTTAACTGCCACACAGTCTTTACCTAGCCTGTAGTGTAGTTAGAAGCATGTTTGACTTCTACAATAAGTCCTTGTATTTTTTGTATACCACCACTGAAAGGCCTCTTTATGGATACGTTACATCTGGCTGTTATCAGTGAGCCGTCATGTAGACTCTGGTATTTTCCCCCTGTTTCTCTCACATAATGCCACCCACATACAGGTCAAGTTCTAAATCGCCTCGTATCCCTGTGAAGCAGGATGTCTGGAACGCAGTGCTTTGTAAATCTAGATTCAGGACTCTCTGTTTGTTTACTACTAGACTGAAATATGAAAGCCTGGCTTCACGTGTAAAGATGCAGCTCTGCTTACCTTACAGCTCCACTGCTAAACATTCAAATGATGAGCTACTCTTGTTGAATTGCAATGCATTTTTTGTTTACTTAATGGATTTAAACAGAAATGTTACAATGTAAATAAAACCAGCAAATATGAAGTTACACATGTGTTTGGTGGGTGTGTGTGTGTGTGTGTCTGTCTGTCTGTCTGTCTATATATAAGAAAGAAAAAAAATTAAAACATTTACAAATAATAATAATAATAAAAAATATATATATATATATAGATCCTGAAAGACAAGGTACTGGCCAACCGATCTATGGTCATGGTGGTAGATATGGTGGATGTGGCAATACCCAGTGGCTATAACATCAGGAAGAAGGAACATGAGCATATGGACAAATCCCAAAGACTGAAAGAAGAACTAGAAAAGGATGCGGAAAGTGAAGGCAGTAGTAGTCCCAGTTGTGATAGGAGCACTCGAGGCTGTGACTCCCAAGGTGTGGGGTTGTTTCAACAGATTCCAGGTGGGACATATGAGATCGCTGTCCAGAAGAGTGCAGTTCTAGGAACAGATAAAATACTATGCAGAATCCTCAGACTCCCAGGCCTCTGGTAGAGGATCCGAGAATGAGCAATAAATATACCACCCACGAGGGGTGAGAAAATACATTTTTATTTTAATATATATAGATATATTATACACACACATACACACAGACACACATGCAAACACCAACACACTGCACCCTACTGCAGGTAGGAATTTTCAGGTAGGCCCATTTTTGGCCAATGCTAGAGATGTATGTTGTATCACTAGGAAGCCCCACACCTTCCCAATATCATACCTCCCAGAGTAGGGTATGCCAACATCTTAACTTAAGGTATGCTAGCATAATAGATATAGTATGTGAACAGTTATGCATACAACCTTCAAATACTCCAATGGAAAAGAAAGAATCTCCTGGATTACCAGATTACAAGAATCTATAGTTACTGAATCTACAAATGTGTATTCTTTTCAAATCGTTCAGTGATTAGAATCTGGCATGTGCAAGATAGATGTGATTTTATCTTTGTAGTCAAAATATATTGTGGTTTCTTTCTTTGCCCAATCTGGCTATTTTAAATTTAGAAATACATAAATCACACAATTTCACCTTGTTCTTTAAGAGATCACCAATACCTAACAGTTATGCCAAGTGTGAAATCACAGAGGTTTGTGAATTACATTTCCCAGGATAACGTGTCAGTCCAGGTACCTGAGCATCATGAGAAATATAGCTAAAAAGTATCTGGGAAGGCAAGGTTAGTAGTCACTGGCATGGGATCAGAATGTTGGGTACATGTTCTTTACTTGCTAGGATTGTCAGCATGGGATTTGACTAAGTGACAGTCATGAAGAGGTTCAATATTGCAGGTTTTAGAAAGAAATCAAGAGCCCCTTTATGAAAATTTTGTGAGAATTAAAGCGTTTAAAGGGGATCTTCTCTTAAAATACTCCATCACATAAAATATTGGAAACAACCTTCTTCATGTCGTCCTCCTTTTTTATTGTAATTTTACATTAATGATTTAACAAATTACATCACATTCTGGTTCAATCCAGGCGCATTCATGGCAACTATTGCAAATGGGAAAAAAAACATTGTTTAATTTTTTCTCTTTCCTATACACTTTCTCTATGCTAACTGCCAGGTGCAATGTTCAAGTACAGTATAGAGCTTTTATCAATGATTGACATGGAGCCAAAATGGAGGTGCCCAGATGCATAATAAAGAAGGTGGATATTTTATATTTAATTTTTATTTATTGCACATCACAAAAAAAAACACATTTGTTTATATAGAGATATGTTAACATAATAGTACATATTCTGGGAAGTGACATTTCCCCTTTAACACAGGTTGCAAGTAAGCAATATGTATACTAGTTGACAATTGGCTATCTTCCTTCCTCTGCAACAGATACCCCTATCGGCTATAGATATTTATTTGCTGCCCAATCCGTTTCTTCGCAGGCAGTTTAACCTTTACACTCTTACCAAGAGAACTATTTAAAAGGACGGTCAAACTAAAACTAAAACTAAACCTGTCACTAACAGTGACTCATATTCGTTATGATTCTTGTGGGCTGAGGAGATGAGAATTCCGATCTTTGTTACACCGAAAGGTGAAGTCCAGGAAATAAACAGTCACAGACATGGTGTTATATGTAATCCAGCTATATAAACTACTTCACTGAAGGCTGTGCTTAGACGTAAATACTGTTAAGAAAATTGTGCATGGAAGGACTAGAGAGGGGTAGGCAACCTTCGGCACTCCAGATGTTGTGGACTACTGTAAAAGCATTATGGGCGTAGTCCACAACATCTTGAGTGCCAAAGGTTGTCTATTCCTGGTCTAGGGACATGAAGCATTGTGTGTACAGCAAAACTGCAGCTTTATCACATGGGTGTCCTTGCTATTCAAACATTTTTTCTAGTTTCAAAACAACAAGGGCAATTTAAACAGCAGCTGCCCTCAAATTTCCCACAAGTTAAAATATTAACTGCAACGCCACCGGTACTTTTGGATGTAAAGGCTAACGTGTCAGAGCAGAAAGAGAGCTGTAATCAATACACTTTTCTATATCAGTAGCTATTTCAGTTCTGGTCCTTAGGAATGCCAGTGTCTAACTGCTCATATCATATAGACCACGTACTAAGTAGCTACGTTGCACTTTGCGTCACCATACATGAAAATCTGCTACCGGAGTGGACGTTCAAGAGTCTTTAAAATGCTAAAACTTTAATAGTCCATCACAATTATTCTATCAGATTTTAAGCTGCATTAAATAATAAGATTTGATGTGGGCTCTCAGGTTCTTGCCGAGAACTGACCTTTCCTGCATTCAAGCACAGATTCAAACTATGGTCCATTACCAGGATAAGTACCGGTGGGGATAGTTAGGGAGAGCTTAATGGGAGGTTCTTACATAATGAAGTCAATTTAAAATATGAACGAGCTCCAAACGGTAATATAATAAATAGACCCCAAGACTGGGTCAGATTCTGATAGTTCTGAGTCGTGCTGACCCACTGCACACTAAACTAGAGACATTCAGGCTCCTACAGATCTAAATGACCTGCAGTAGGAAAAAACAACAAACTTGGTTAATTGTAGCCAATTAAAACCCCTTCAACCACTTACCTGAATCCAGCACCGATGTCCCTCGGCGCTGGGTCAGGCTCAGCCCACGCTCCTCACCTGCCGACGTCAGCCGGCGGGGGAAACCTAATGTACATGTGTGGCAATGGCCATGCGCGCATTAGACCTCCCCATAGGAAAGCATTATGCAATGCTTTCCTATGGGTAAAATTTGACGCTTGAGGTCCGTGGGGATAATAACTAGAAAACTTGCCTTATTTCCAGTGCTGCACCGGTCCTCTGACAATGGCTCTGCCCCAATACACCTCCTTGACTGACATAATCAGAATTGATGATCTCAGCCAATCACAATGCTTTCCCATATGAAAGCATTGGATTGGCTGAGATCGTCAATTCTGATGCTCTCAGTCTAGGAGGCAGGCCTGGCCAATCAGCATCTCTCATAGAGATGCATTGAATCAACACATCCGTATAGTGAAAGTTCAGTATCTCCTTACAGAGCGAACATCAGTGCTGCACACACACTGTGCAACACTGACCCAGGAAGCATGCTAGTGGATGTTTGAGGAGTGGATAGTGGAGGTATCCCTGGGCAATGAAAACACTTTTGTCTTTTCTCTGAAACGGAAGTGTTTGTGGCAAAAAGCCTGCAGGGACTGACTATACTTACCAGAACAACTACAATAAGTTGTAGTTGTTCTGGTGACTATAGTGTCCCTTTAAGGGTGCAGTAACAATAGTTTAATTTACTTACTTACAGTTATTGTGAATGCCTGTATGAAAATAATTATTTAACCCACATAACACTCAAAAAACACACACAATAACTAAAAAAAATGCTGCTCTTATTATGATATATTGTAGTCTTCAAAACAGTGGAATGCCAATTATCAGCTCAAATGTTAACTAGATATTCAAAATGTAATGTACAGTGTTTATAGTCACAATGTCATGTCTTACCATCACGAAAAGTCCAGTCACTTTTTCAGCAAAAAATACAAGGTGCATAAATAGGTTTATATTTGTATTAGGTCTGGTTGACTGGTTTTGAGTAAGTCACAAAGTGTTTGCCGTAAGCCAAGTAATGTTTGAATTGTTTTTAGATAAAATATAAGAAACTATAAAATATATGCTAAATCAAAGTGCAAAATATATGTTGTCACCTATTAACAATGTCAGCTGGCTAATGGTCTACTATACAAGAAATGTCCTTAAAAGCTATCAGACTTTTATTTTATAAGATACAAGGAAATGCTCCGCTATTTTTTTTTTCAGTTATGTTAAAACAAAACAATATGGGAAGCAGAGTATAGGGGCACGAAAATTGACAAACAAAAAGTAATTTTTACAAAGCAAAATAAAAAATGACCATTCCTATAATTTCATTAGTTATCAGAGACCAAACTACCGACTGTGTTGAGCAAGTGGGTTCCACACATGGGTCTAACTGATGGTGCCACCCATATGATATGTAAATAAATTATATTAACTGCTTCAGGATGATGAGATTGGCACAGTCTATAATATAACAGTTCTGGCACGTGAACTGACATGAACGGGATTAAGAGCTCTGGAAACTGAACCATCTCCTTGTTTGCTTTCCTGAATGCTTTAAGAGAGACACTAAACTTTTAAAAGAAATTTAGTTTCAAAGAGAAAATGTTAATTAAATCTAGATTTTTAAGTAAAATGGAACATCTTTCACTCCAAACATAGCATTCTGACAGGTCTTATTCGGATGTAGTGAGCCGTACTTGATCATTCCTACAGGTAACAGACAGGCTGCCCTTACACTTAGATCAGGTTAGGTTGCAGACAAGACTATGTAAATTGAAACTATGTAACTCGAGCCGATTTTTGTTTATAAATAAATTTTATATGCTGGGTTACGTTACTGGCCAGTTGTCTGATAACAAATTTACAATTTGAGATGAATATAAACACAATTTCTAGTACACGTAATAGCAATAAAAATATTATAGGAAACACTGTAATGTTTAACAAAAGACTTTCTTAGGGACAGTATACTCGCCAGAAACACTACCGCTCAATGTAGTTTTTCTGAGGGATACAGTCTGTCCCTATAGGGTTAACAGTATAAACACTGCCTTTTAAGAGAAAATACAGTACTTAACCAGCTAAGTCCACCTCTAGTTGCTGTTACTCAGAGAACTGTGTGAGGGACTTCCTGGTCAAGTTGTTTTAATCTCTGCAGGATTAACACTCAGCATTTCCACGTTCTGCATGGAGACACTAGATTCTCCCCACAGAGATGCATTGATTCACTGATTGGCACAGCGTGGCAATTTGCAATTTAACACTAGCCTCACAATGCCTATGATTGATGATTTCAGCCAAGGAGGCAAAAGGGGCAGCACAGAGATTGACACAGTGAAGGCTACAAGTAAATCTTTTTTTAATGCTTTTTAATGCTTGCATTTGAATAGTTAGCAGAACACTAAAACTAGGCATTAAATGTTTGTATTCCTAACCTTATAGTGTTCCTTTAAAAACAGTAAATAAAAACATATTGAAACAGGATAAATATGTATATGCTACAGGGCATTTTCAAACTAGTAGTGACGTTGTTCAAAGGGACACCTAAGGCATTTCCATAGTGTTATATACACAATTTTATTTATTTTTAACAGTTTTTCATTCACATGATCACCTTGTTCGCCATTCAATGTTCTTTTATGTAATAGTGGAGCTGTGTTTTACCCTAAGGAGCTAGACAAACCCTCTCATTGTGTCTATGAGCGAGCTAATATAGCTACAATGCCAGTTAGTTTCACACACAAAAACCTATGGATGAGAATATGACCACTTTTAATACTCTGATTTCATGTATGCATTTTAACAGATTGTATATTTATATACATGTGTGTACTGAATTGTAGTGTTAAAGGTACACTATAGTGTTAGCAATACAAAACTGTATTCCTAATGCTATAGTATACCTCTGTCCCTAGTTTTAAGTCCAAACTTCCCCCACGACAATTAAAGGGTTAAAATTCCTTTTTTTTTACTTACTTTAATTCCAGGATCACTCTCCTTCTCCAGCTATGTCATGCTTATAGAAGACATAATGCACATGTACGGCAATTGCTTTTCTATGGGGGTTTTGAAGATGCTGGACGTCCTCATGTGAAGTGTGAAGACGTCCAACATTGTTTCACTGAGTTAAAGGACCACTATAGTCCCCCAGACCACTTCAGCTCAATGAAGTGGTCTGGGTGCCAGGTCCCCCAGCGTTTAACCCTTCAGATGTAAACATAGCAGTTTCAGAGAAACTGCTATGTTTACATTGCAGGCTTAATCCAGCCGAAAATCGCATTCAGCATGCAGAACGTCCATAGGAAAGCATTGAGAAATGGGAGCTGACGTCGGAGTGGGAGTAGAGGTCACCAGCACCGAGGGAGCCCAGTGCTGGATTAAAGTAATTAGCCCAAGGGGTTAAAACCAGCGGTAGGGGGCCCTGAGGGTGGGGAGGACCTAAGGGTTATATAGTGTCAGGAAAACAAGTTTGTTTTCCTGACACTATAGTGATCCTTTAAACTCTCTGAAAATGCAGGAAGTGCCTCTAGTGGCTGCCTGGTAGACAGCCACTAGAGGCAGTCTTAACACTGCAATGTAAACATTGTAGTTTCTCTGTTCTCACTTGCAGGGCTTAGGGGACAGGAACACTGCACTCACTCTACTTCCATGAGATGAAGTGGTCTGGGTGCATATAGTACCACTTCAAACCCATTTATTTGTTTGCAGTATTCCTTTTTAATGGTCTTTAAGCAGCGTAGCATTTTAGAAGTCATCTGAGCCTTTTTTCAGAGAATTAGAAAAAAAAACATTCAGTAGATTTGATCAAAGACAAGACAAGGCCATCTGATAGATTTTTTTAATCAGATTTAATTGAAAAAAAAAAATCTGCATATCCTTAAAATAATGTCGGAACATTCAACACATTGAAGCAATTTATATTGAGCCTACCAGCTGTACTATAATTACTCTGCAGACCAAGCAGCAGAGAAATATGATTGCAGATTCTTTTAAAATGCACCAAAAATCAAGTGAGGAGAATTATTCACAAATGTACGGATAAAGACAAACTGCAAATACCAATTGTATTTTAATCACGTAAAATGCAAGCTTTGCACATACATCGTGATTATATCCCTTTGTAATTCTCAACAGCTCCAATCTAACATGCATCTTTTATTTCCACTAAATATTGCAAATATTACG